CAATTAATGACGTGCGCTCAGCTTAAACACCGGTCTGAATTGCGCTAATTATTTGCTTTAGCTTTTGTTGTTTTCTTTTGTTTTTTTTGTTTTTTTTTACAAAAATCGCTCGAGCCAAACTTGTCAGGCAATTTGTATTCCAGCGGTACATCGACACTTGAAAAATACTGGCTTTTATCTATAACTTTGTTGAAACTTCGTCAACGGGAATCGTACATCTTATCTTTAAAATATTTTCAGTTTGTTAAAATTTATGTTATTTACCTTTTGACAGCACGACGATGTTAGAGCTTGCGTCGATCACTAAAATTATGTAAGTATTTATTTATGAGTTCAAGTTCAATTAATTTTCAAGTAAAAATTGTTTGTATTTATTTAAATACAATTTATTTAATTTTTTTTTTTAAGTTTTTGTGTAAGTCACGCTTTTTTACTATTTAATCTAGCAAAAATATATCAAGCACTTCAACAATAAGTCCGCTCACTGCGAAAGCGCACGGAAAACTGCCACAAATGCCGGTGATCGAGTTTCCAATTAGTTGTCGAAAAGCGTCAAGCCCCAACAAATGCTCTCACACTCATGTAGAACAGATCATTTCAATTGTTGTTTTCTTGTCGTGTTTTTTATGGCACGATATGCTTGTTTCTTTATTTATTTATATTTGTATTTGGTTTACTTGTTGCTATATTTCGGCGCTTGTTTTATCTTTTTGAGTTCTTAATGGCTCTCTGCGATAATTGCCTCTTTCCGAACGACACGCGCAATGAGTCAACTCTCGTGCGCTAATGCAGGCGCGCGCCGCTCAAATGCATCTGCTGGCGATCGCTCTCTGTTTGTTTCTTGAATCATTTACTTTTAATTTTGTAAATTTAATAGTTTTTATATTCACGTGCTGGGCTGAAATGCTGCAGACTATGGGATTAGACAATGATTGGTTCTGCAGATTTTCTCCTTTCTAACTAATTGTTTGTACATTTTTTATTAGTCAGCTGAGGGAATTTAGAGCGTTGCTCATAATATATCACAATATCAATGACTGTTCGAAATAGTACTTAGATTTCAGTAGAACTTGTAAAATAAATTTCTATAAACATTATAATGAATGTACATACATACATCATCATAAATAATATGCACATAGAAAATAAAAGTAATATTTTTACGAAAATGGGTTTGATGAAAATCGATGTGCTATCATTTTAATTGGTTGTAAAGGGTCGCACCTTAACATGTCTATGCTTATGTCTAATCTTATTATTATCTTCAATAAAGATAATATTATAAACAAGGACAAGGCTATCGAAAGGTAGCGTGATTTGCTCAAAGTGCGTAAGCTCTTGGGTGTAAATAGTGAACCAAGCCTTATAGAGCTTCAAATGAATCCACCCTTAATTATGAGACCTTATTAACGGTTTGTTTTATTATTTCATAAATAAAATATTATATATAGTAAGCCGAACTGAACCATTCTCCAAAAAAATTTGCACCCTTGCTTTGGACTATAATCTATCCCAAATGTCGTGAAGATACCTTGGTAATAAAGTAAGTTTCAGTTTATATGGCAGCTATAAGCTATAGTGGTCCGATATCGGCGGTACCAACAAATCAGCAGCTTTCTGATAAAAGAAGGACGTGTACAAAATTTCAGATTGATATCTCGAAACCTGAGAGACTGGTTCGCGTATATACAGAGGGACGAACATAGCTAAATCGACTCGGCTCGACACAAACTTAGTTCACTCAGGGTATAAAAATGTATACCTTCTTCATAAGAATGAAAATGAATGTCTAATTTAAACAGACTATATACGAGGGCTGCTATATATATTTCTGGAATAATAATGAAAATACGAATATTTATCAACAAAAATGTTTTTTTTTTCGGTCGATTGCTGTTTTGTTTCGGACTCATACGCATAGATCCATGATTCGTCACCTGTGACGATCTTATAAACGTCTTTTGAAGCACCGCGATCGTATTTTTTCAGCACTTTACACCAATCCACACGAGCGATTGTCAAATTGTGCGGGATCCAACGAGAACAAACCTTTTTTACGGCCAGGTGTTCATGCAATATCGAATGTATGCTGGTGGGAGAAATGCATAGGCATGCTTCTATCTGAAGGTATGTTACATGACGGTCTTGCATTATCAGTTCACGTACGGCATCGATGTTTTCTGGCACAACGGCTGTTTTTGGACGACCTTCGCGGAATTCGTCTTTGAGCGAGCGTCGGCTACGATTGAATTCGTTGTACCAGTTTTGCACAGTGCTATAGGATGGTGCTTCATAGCCATACAAAGGTTTTAGTCGATGCACTCTTGTCGTCATAATCCACGTCGAAAGTTGTGAAAAATGATCGCACGAAAATGTTCACGAGTTAATTCCATTTTTTGGCCGAGATGAATTTTTTAATTCCCTGTAAATAAAACAATTCACGATTAAATGACAAAACGTTCTGAGTGATATTATGCTAAAAAATGTCAAACTTTCCAATGGAAATGTCAGATTGCACCTGGCAACACTTAGTTCCACCTACAAGAATATGCTAGACAATAGTAAATTTCTTTTGCGATAGCAGCGCCATCGAGTGGAGAATAACAGGGTATATTAAGTTTGCCACTAAGTTTGGAACACCCAGAAGGAAACGCAGGAGACCATATAAAGAATATATATAAATGTAGAGCGTGATGTGCTAAGTCGATTTAGCCATGTGCGCCTGTCTGTATATACGGGAATTAAGCCCTCAGTTTTTGATATGTCGTTCTGAAAGTTTTCACATGTCCTTTTCTCTCCAAGAACCTACGCATTTGTGGGAACCGTCGATATCGGACCACTATAGGACATAGCGACCATAAAAGTTGTTCAAACAAACTCAAGTTCCACGAGCTTTGGTGTAGATTGTTAACCAAGACTACAAACTACATTCTCCAAACAAATTGTTCAGATTAAACAACTATAGGATATAGTTGCCATATAAACTGATCAATTTAACTCGTATCCTTGTATAGAGAACTTCTTTATTTGACAAAGTACCTACATGAAATTTGGCACAGATGGCTGTCTAAGGCAACGCTATGTCCTCCGAATAAATTATTCAGATCGGATCACTAAAACATATAGCTACCACACAAAATGATCGGTGAAAATCAAGACATAGATTGTGTTATATGCTCTTATGCTATAAAAAATACACCATGAATACTATTACAGTTTCGGAGTAGCTGAAGTTAATCTTTTTTCTTGTTTTTTCTCAAAAACGATCTACTTCGTTAGAAAATAAATTCGTAGAAAATATATTCGTCTATTCAAAAGTAGAAAATACAGCTTTATCTGAGAAGTTAACAATGGTTATAAAAATCATATTAAATCGATATTTTATCTTCAATTTTATTAAACCGTTAGCTTAATTTAAGCCTAACTTAAAACAACAACACATCATCGACGTCGCTTCAAAGCGTCAGTTGAACGTTCTTATAATCGCATCATTTGCACCAATTACTTTAAACTCTCACACATGGAACGCATCAGCGGCCATAAAGCAACGTTTGCATCGTCTTCTCTAATATATGGCACAAGCGCTCGTTGCCGTAATTTCACCTAATATTGAATGGTGTTTTAATCGCATTCCCCTGCTGCATTAGCGCCTAATTTTAGGCTATACCATTAGTGTACATTTCAACATACACAAACGTAACTTTGCACGTGTGTGTGTGTGTATGTGTGTGTACCATATGTGCTGGAAGTGCGCTCACGAGCAGGCGGCGCTCTTCACAAGTGAGAATAATAATTCAATTAATGAAATTGGTTGATAAATTTACGCTAGCGCTTAATGGCGTTGCAATGCGGTAAAGTGGATGCCTATAATCAGCTCCTGGTTGGTTAGAACCAAGTATGTTTACATACCTACAACTGGAAGTGTATGTATATTGGGGCTGCAGATTAGTCGAATGTGATTTTATTTCATAGTTATTGGCTAGGTTTTGTAAATATTTGTCAAGTTTGCTTATATTTACTTGTTCTTATGTATGTATATGTTTATATTTACTTGTTCTTATGTATGTATGGTATAGTAAATAAACTCGTATGCATACAAACATATATACATTCGTATGTACATAAGTAGCACTTATCACTTCCCTGTAATCTTATATATTTTTCGAAAAGTAAATAGATACTCACATTCTTAAATTTAAATAGCAAATATATGTGTATATGTATGTATGTATCGTCGGCATACTTTTTGCAAACATACATATAAACAAATGGCAAAATATACTTTTTATATTAAAAAAGAAATTCGAACATTTTTCTCGCAGGAAAGTAGTAAGCAGTAGCAAATATTCAATCGATTTGTGCAACCATTCCCACCAGTCGGGTATGTAACTGGAACGGACACGGATTTTTATTCAGCCAAGGGCTCGGCAGTATTCATCCAAAATACTTCATGGACGTTCTCTGTCGCTACAACAACCCTAACCAACAACCACCCGATATTGAATAACATATACAGTTCACTTACTATATCGTGAGATATTTATTTCGCTATAACATATGGAATTGCTTATGCTACATATGTATGTATGCTTTACAGTATTACAGCATTATAATTAAAATATTATTTACAAAATATAAGGAAGAACAAAAATGAGTACATTGAAAAACCAATTATTGCATTTCAAGTGATACGTGCGCATGTACGCAGGTGTGTATGAATATATGTATGTATATTTATCTTTAAGCAAAATAAAAATATCTTTACCTCAATATAACGGTTGGTCGAGCCTTCTACACATTCTTATATATTTATAAATATAACTCTTTTTTATTACATTTCACTTAACAAAATGCCTTGCCAATACCGTATGTAATATGTAAATTTCAACCAGTCAAAGATACCATCAATAGTTGCAGATTTGCAAATATTATATAAACTTTTCTACAAATTATATATTATATGTATATATTTTTCAACACTTTTCTGTAAGCATGAAATAGACGTTGGAAACTGTTCAATAAAACAATTTAGCAGCTATTTTCAGCTTTTAACACATTTATTCTTCATCATCGGTCAGCTCTAGAAATTGTGTACAAACATCGCGACTGCACTCGCCCTTATTGTTGAATAAAAATTTATAATAATGACCATCGGCGCAAATAGCTGTAATTATTAAGATGAAAAACATAATTTCAATTATTTTAAACACTTATAATTGGTCGTGTAAAACCACGCACCTATAACAGAGTTGGGATCAGCGCCGAATGCGCAGATACAGGCTGGACCTTGCGGTATGGAGAATTTAACAAAACTCCACTGGCTAGAGAAATATTTTGGTATCATAGGAAATGCGGCTTCTTTTGGTTTATTGTCATCTAAATTAAAGACATGAATGGTGCCATGATCCGAGGACACTACCAGCATAGTAGATTGATGATTAAAGTTTATGCAGTAAATATTTGCCTACAGGTAAAAAAACAAATGTTAACATCTATCCAAAATGGCTGCTGAAAAAAGCACACTTACCTGATTACTACCACGCCGCAGTTCGCAAAGTTTTTTGCCATTCTCTGTATCAAAAATGCGTATTAAAGTTCCTTTTTCGCTGGCGGTGGCCAAGCGAGTGCCTTGCAAGTTTAAGGCAATGCAACTAATGGACGCTTCGTGCGCGACAACTTCTAGCGGAGCGCGCTCTGTATTTGCCAAATCGACTATCTGGACGTGGCCGGTTCGTCGCCCTGGAAAGGCTAACAGACTTTTATTGCTATGTGGACACAACACGCACAATCCATGCGGATTCGCACTTGTCTCAAAGACATGCAGCTGCTGTGGTTGTTGTGTGAAGGTAAATACTTTTATCACACCTTCTAATACTACAACAATGCGATCGCGTCGCAAGCGCACTGCTTTGACGGGCTGATTAAAATCTATCGATATTGCTGGTGCTTTTTTCAAATCATCCCAAACGATTACTTTGTTTGGTGGATACAAAGGTCTGATGCCTCCGCCAACAAGCGCCAAATAATTGCATCGGAAAAGCATTTCAACGTGGCATAATCCGCCTTCTGGAAAATATTGACGTTCTTTTTCCTTCAATGGATCGCAGTTGTAAACACGAAAACCAGTGTCCGTTGCGCAAGCGAAACATCCTGAAACTCCCAATTATTTCTTTGAAAATATATTATATTTATATATATGTATATATTTACCTTGATCTTGATTAAATCCAACATATAACAAGCCATTTCCGTATGGATTTATCTCCACTAAATTCATCGTAGTTGATGTTGGTTCTTATTTTTACTTCACGAGTGTTGTCGTCACCGATAATAATTTGGCCACACTCTGCTTTTGTTTGATTTTTACACTTTACTTTAGCTTTATTTATTTACGTTAGTATTTCTGAATCAGTTTAATGAGATAGTTATTTAAGCACTGTCCGAAAGATAATGAAATATTTTCATTTCAAAGAAAAAAATTGTTTTTCAAGTCTTTCCTTTTGTCTTCATCGGAAATCTTTAGTAGGCGAGGCATTGCCAGTGCTAAGCAATTATCGATCAGCTGAGCGAAATTCTTGTATTTAATATTAAAGATAGATCTTGTTTTAAAATGTCAAAAATTTAATTTTCAATTTAATAATAAATGAAATTTTCAATTCTTTTATTCTGAAAAGAATGTTTTTAAATTATAATCAAGGAGGATTGGAATGAACAATTTTATTTTAATTGTATATTTAAAACTTAATATCTAACTTTTGATACCCAAAATCAAATCTAAAGATTGATTAAATATAAATCATTAGTGTGTTATTTGCCGACCTGTACTCTAGAGTATTGAATATGATGGCTCTGTACGAGCTTTAATTCAAAAAGGTAGTGTACTTCGTATTTCTAAAACGATTTCTTTTTGAAATTCCTAATTATTATTTATGTTAGGAGTTTTTTTTCAGTCCGGTATTTGGAATTAAAAATTAAAAATAAATAATATTTAGTACTTATTTATTTTGAGAATAATAGTTATAGCAATTGTCGTTAATATGTTTTTTAACAAATTAGATATAAGAATTAAAATAATTACCGCCGATAAGAAAACACCTAAATACAATACAGAATGGCCACATTGACGAGCGACGAATTCAATTGGTAGCATTGAAGGAAAATACGTGCAACTCTGAAATTTTTCTTTTTGCCTTGCTGTGCTGTTGGCTTTTTCGGTTTAAATAATTTGGTTAATTGCTTCATTTTAAGTTAATAAAATGCAATTCCAATAACTTGAAAGTGTTATAATTATGTTGCGAAAATATTTAAACAATTTCGGTTCGAGTGTATTGATTTCTATGCTTTTTATTTGCGGCCTTCATGGTAGAAACAACCTGTGAAACTTGTTTTTGTTGTTGTGTTCGATAATTGAGAAGAAAAGTCTCGGTCGTGTTCTTATATGGTGAGGAGTGGCTGAATATGTGGAGAACTAAAAAAGTGACATAAACGTCAAAACAGCGGCAAAAAAGTGCTTAGAAAATTTGTGATTGGGTATTGGGGAAATTGCAGGCGAATTATAAAAAGACAAAATTAATACCCAAAAAGCAGTAAGAACAGGATCAGTAGGTTTGAGCCAACGACGTACAAGTTTAGCTAAACCACAGACGCAAACTATTGTGGGGCGGTGGCGGCGGCGCAGTCGTCGTGTTTTGGCAAGCTACAAGTTGCTGCATCAACTTTTGCTTCACGTTAGCGTAAAGTAACGCAGAATTAGGATACGAAGTGGGGAAATTTATAACAACGACAATACCAATTGGACATATTCAACGTTGATGAAATAGTTGACACGCGTACTGAAGAAAGGTGTCGAAAGTGGTTTGGCGAATGTTTGTGTTCATGTAAATTTTGCTAGCGGGAAATGTTGCGCTTTTTAAGTCGTCGAAAGGTGCGTAGCAACTATGTGGAAAGCAGAGGAGGCGTTGCCGGTGGTCCCGGCGGAGGTGGTGTTACAAATGCAAACAGTAGTAGCGGCACGCAAATTAAAGCGCAGCGTATGCCAGTAAACAAAAATAAAATTGAGTGCCGTGTAGTGCTTTTAGACAATACAGATCTCTCCATTGAACTATCAGTAAGTACGAACATAAAGTTATTTATTGCAAATACGGTTAACATTGTATATAAATACGAATGTATAAATTGAAAAAAGATAAGGCTAGAACAAAAAAAGAGAAAGTGCTAAACCTCTCATTTCATTAATTAAATTACATGGTTGGTCGCACTAGACAAACGTATTAGTTTCAATTCATTGTTTTAGTAGTTTAGTTCGGGTGTTTAACTTATTCTAAATTTGTATATTCTAAGTAATATGCATATGTATGTAAAAAGAACTAGGTAGTTAGAATTAGCAGAACATTTCAGATAATGAAATTGCAATTTTTCACGTGTAAAATTGAATATGAAACCTTAATTAGAAATTCGTTAAGCTTTCAAACTCCGAAAGTCTATTCAATTACCTAAACAATTTTTTTTACACATCATATTACAAATTTACTTGAGTGGACACGGTCTTCTCAAATTTTGAAGGTATAATAGGTGAACTATCCAACAATATTTTTTTTTTTTAGATTTTCTCCACCAATTAGTTTGAAATATCATCAGGCAAATTAATACATTTATTTTTATACTCTAAACAGGGTATATTAAGTTTGCCACGAAGTTAGTTAAACCCAAAAGGATACGTCGGGGACCGTATCAAATATATATTTGTTGCCATACAATCTGAACGATCAAAATCAAGGTCATGTATGGAAACTATTTTATTGGTTAAGGGTATTATAGTTTCGGTGCAATCGATGTTAACGTGTTTTCTTGTTTTAGATTTTTTTCTACCAATTACATATATTAGGGTACAAGTAAATAAATGTTTATTTTTACTTTCAAAATATCGAAAATTTACTATAATATTTTTTAATTTTACAGAAAAAGGCACTCGGAAGCTTCTTATACGAACAAGTCTTCTATGCATTAGACGTAATTGAAAAAGATTACTTCGGTTTGCAATTTACTGATGCGAATCATGTTAAACACTGGCTAGATCCTACAAAACCTATAAAGAAGCAAGTAAAGAGTAAGTAAATGCTTATTTGTAAATCAACACAATAATGATAACATATTTTTCTAGTCGGACCACCATACACCTTTCGTATGAAAGTAAAGTTTTATTCATCGGAGCCAAACACCTTACGTGAGGAGCTGACCCGTTATCTATTCTTCCTTCAATTGAAACAAGATCTACTGGAAGGTCGCTTAGATTGTCCCGATGACAAAGCTGCTGAGTTGTGTGCGCTCGCATTGCAATGTATGACTTGATAATAAGTGCACACAATCGTTTCTAACTGTAATTTATATATTTATAGCTGAACTTGGTGATTACGATGAACAAGTGCATACTGCGGTCACAGTTTCGGAATTCCGCTTTGTGCCGGAACAAACTGAGGATCTCGAAATTGCCATATTGGAGGAGTATAAAACATGTCGTGGTTTGACGCCTGCGCAAGCCGAAACGGCCTACTTAAATAAAGCCAAATGGTTGGATATGTATGGTGTTGATATGCACACAGTCTTGGTAAATATTTACAAAGTTATATGGAAACATATTAAATATTAATAAGTAAAACATATATTACAGGGTAAAGACGGTTGCGAGTATCATTTAGGTCTAACACCAACTGGAATTTTGGTTTTTGAGCGTGATCAAAAGATCGGCTTATTCTTCTGGCCGAAAATCAGTAAATTGGATTTTAAAAAGAAGAAACTTACGCTAATCGTTATCGAAGATGATGATGAGGGACGCGAACAGGAACATACTTTCGTCTTTCGCTTGTATAACGAGAAAGCGTGCAAACATTTGTGGAAATGTGCCGTAGAGCATCATACATTCTTCCGTTTGCGTGCGCCTGTCAAGGGACCCTCTGCACGTCAAAACTTCTTCCGTATGGGTTCACGTTTCCGCTACTCGGGCCGCACAGAGTTTCAAACCACACAGCAAAGTCGTGCCCGACGCACTGTACAATTTGAACGTCGTCCGTCACAACGTTTCGCCAGCCGTCAGTCGCATCTGCTACGTGATCGTCAAAAAGCTTCACAAGAAGCGGCCGCCTCAGCTGTAGCTGCGGTAAATGCGCGTGCCGCAGCAGCTGCCGCCGCCGCAGTTGAACCGGCCAACACTACACTCGACTCGTTGCTCACGAATACATCAACGATGGAGCAACCGTCCAATGCGGCTACACCCTCGCCATCTATACAAACGGTTATTTACAATGCCAATGTAGAGTTGCTGAATGATACGGCAACATGCAGTGCAGCTGCGGCGCGTGGCAGCAATAGTGGCGTGCGTCGTAATTCCATGCGCTCGGATTCAAGTGGTGAAGAAAGCGGCTACACAAAACTCGATTGCTACAATAAGGAAGCTTTAGCAGTGAAGTAAGTTTTCACGGATTTTATGTTTGTTTTGTAAAGTTGTACCACATATATGTATATTCCTGGTAGGCTTGATACTGATTCCATTGGCGCAACCAGTAGCGTATATCCACCAGCTACAACGAAGAATGCCGATGATACTAATCCATTTAGAAATAATGCCTCCTCACATCACGGTTCCTTTGGCAAAGCCTCCATTAGCTCGGGCTTCAGGTGAATTGTGAAAACTAGTTTCAACTATTTCTTGAATTAATGTGCAGCTATACACGTATCGCTTAGTATTTGTTATTTAAAAATTATTACTTCTATTACGAAACTAAAACGTTTTTGTTTCAATACGTTACTTGCTCGCACTATCATAACTATTTCTTTGCTGTGAATATTATTTACTACACGGTATTTATTTCTCTCACTATATTTCGGTTTTATGAGTTTTAGCTATTTAGTTTTTCGTTTGTAGTTAAATGTTTATTATATATGTACTAATTTTACATCTGTCTCGTTGTGCAGCATTAGAAGTGCCTTATCGGACAAAGATAAAGAGCTAGATTCATTACTTAAGTCCATTGTTAAAGATCCATCCCCATCTATACTAGCAACTGAAGCTATTAATGATGCTAACAGTATCAGGTAGAGCAAAATTCGCATTAATATGCTTTCTTTTAACAGCTCAGCCTTCTAAATATTAATATTTAATAATAAATTCCATTTTAATTACTTCATAGGGTAACGATAAACAAAACCTTCGATATGGAACATAATACAGAGACATTGAAGCGACTTTCCAGTTCGGATAAACCGAATAATCAAGTGAAGCTGGCAAATGTTGGCGGTGGCGCACTGCCGCCCGGACACATAAAATGCAATATTTTGAAGGGTAAGTGAAGTTTATATGTAATTTAATATAAAAAAAACAAGAAAAAACGGTAACTTCGGTTGCACCGAAATTGGAATACCCTTTACAAACAAAAAAAAAAGTTTCCTTACAAGAACTTGATTTTGATCGTCCAGTTTGTATGACAGCTATATGTTGTAGTGGTTCGATCTTCGGAGTTTGTACCGTTGCCTTGGATATTAATTTAATGCCAAGTTTCGTTAAGGTATTTCGTCAAATAATAAAGTTTTCCATACAATAACTTGATTTTGATCGTTCAGTTTGTATGGCAGCTATATGCTATAGTGGTCCGATTTGAACAATATATTCAGACATCGTAGCGTTGTCCTAGATAATGATAAATGCCTAATTTTGTGAAGATAAACTTATCAAATTAAAAAGTATTCCATACACGAATTTTGATTTTGATCGGTAACTTTATGCTATAGTGGTCGTAGTCCAATATTGGCGGATCCAACAAGCGAGCACCTTCTTGGGAATAGAAAGACGTGTGCAAACACGGGTATGGCTAAATCGACTCAGCTCGTCACGCCGATTATTTATATATGTATATTTTATAGAGTCTCCGACATTAATTTTTGTGTTTTCCAAACTACGTGCTAAGTTCTATAGTGCTTAGTAATAAAAATTGTTACATTACAGCGCGCGTCGAAGAAGAGCTTGGCACTGGGGTGCACACGAATGCCAATACGAATGCGAAAATGACAAATCAAATGTTTGTGCCCGCACCAAGCACAGTGCAACACAACAACAACAACAGCAATAGCATATTCAGCAGTATTAATACGAACAACAACAACAATAACACAATGTATAGTAGTGACGGCCCAGACTCATTGAATGCCACCTATATTTCTGTGGTGAGTAAAATTACATTTTTATTTGGACTGCTTTACGCCTCTTCACGAACTGTTGACTACCTGCACACTAAGTTAACTTATGCACATACTTATAAACATATGTACATATGATTAATTGTTTCCACCTATTCATAATTTATTTAATTTGTCTCACGCTTTTTGTTTTTCCCCACCTGCTTTCGTTTTTGGTTTTGTATTTACGTCTACTTTTGTGTTACCACTTTTTTGTTTTGTATTGTGTTGCGCTTAGGGCGGTGATAAACTAACTTTGAGCATAACGGAACAAAAACCAACGAGCAGTACCGCCATCACTGTGGGCAGTGGCAATACAGATGCGAATGCCTCGAACACATACGTTGCCGAGGCGCATGTTTTGCCATCGCCCACAACACCATCAACGCGAAAGATAACCGCTTCCAAAACGACAATATCACCATTTTCCAATGCCACTTTCATATCTGAATTCAATAGCATGAGCCCCAACGCATCGTCGTCATCTTATAATAACACGCATACAAGCACAGTTTTCACCACAACAACAACAAGTCCTGCCAGCGCCAACGAAACATTCACAATTCGCAAAGGTAATGCCACAACAACAGGTGATAATTTGTTGTTGACACCCACCACGCCAACAGCAAATATTGCCACCATAACCACGCCCCCACCAACGCCAACGCACACATTCAGCGCCACAGCTGCGAGCAATGCTTCCGCTGCTGAGCGTTTAATTAACGAGATTTTCATCAATAACATTATAAATAATAATGTGCGTGCCACAAATGAGAAGAAGTCCGCCAGCAGCACGCTTATTGGGAAGAGTAACGAAACGGAATTGGTCAACATCGATGGTGGCAACCAGTCGCCGACCAAACCGTCTGCTGGCACAACATTATTCTCCACGTTGCGCGAACAAGAACGCCAACAGCAGCATGTGAACGATGTGACTAACGAGCGGGACCGCTGTGAAACTGATGCGCAAATGCTAACGAAAAAAGAAATTGAGAATAAGGTTTGCATTTGTTTACTTCATACGTCATTGGTATTAAGGTGTTGGGTTGTCGCATGCCGAGAATATACGTTAATGTTGTTATTTTTGGGTTTTGTTGTTTTGTTTTTAGTTTATTATTATTTTTTTTTTTTGTGATCACCTAATACTTTTATTTTATTGCATAATTGTTTTTATTTATTAAATAGTGAAAAGAAATAGTTAAAATTTAAAATTCATTAAATTTATTTATAAATATTTAAATTTTTTGATTATATATGTTTTTATAAGTGAAAAATACATTAATTAAAATTTGAAATTAATTAAATTAAATTATAAATTTATTAAATATTTAAATTTTAATTATATATATTTTTATAAGCAAAAAAAGTAATAATATTTAAAATAAATTATTTTTTTTATTTAAATGGTTTATTTTGTTTTGTTTTAATTTTTCGTTTAATTATTATGCTTTCCTTTTTTAATATGTGAGGTTATGTTGTATTAACTAATGTTGTGTTCTCTTCTTTCTACAGCATCAAAATAATCATTCCGTCACACATATTCCGAACAACAACGACATGGTATCACCTTGGCTGGTGTCATCAGAAGTGGTTTCAGCGCCTAAAGGCAAAGAACCAACAATTATGCGAAAATCCGTTATAACAACGCAATTGTAAGTGCTCAATTTTCTGATAATTTATTTAGTTAGACAACAGTTTCGATCGTGCGACCATTAAGTTGCCTTAAATTAAAAAACAAATTATTAGAAATTTATTTATTGCAATTTTAAAAGTAAATGCCAAGGTATTTGTGCATGACAAAAGTGCCGATTATATTATTATATTAAATTAGGAGACGATTCCATGAAGAAATATTTATAAAAAGCATTCCAGAAATTAGAAAACTTGTAAGCGAAAGTGGAGAAAAAATTAATCAAATAATTATGTAGCAATACAGGCATAAGGGCTCAACTTGTATTTATGAAGTTTTGAAAAGTTCACGAAAAAATTTTAATTTGTTAGGTTTTAAGTGCCGAAAATACCCTACCCAGGGTATATTTTTAATATGTCACAAAGTTTTTCATACCCAAAAGGAAACGTCGGAGATCCCATAAAATATAGATAAAAATGATCAGCGTGACGAGCTGTATATACGGTATGTACGTGAACTTGTCCCTCAGTATTGAGATATCGATATGAAATTTTGCACACGTCTTTTTTGAAGTTTCACGAAGTTGCGCATTTGCCGGAATTGCCAATATCAGATAACTATAGCATATAGCTGTCGTCTGATGTGACCGATCGTCACGAAATATGGCGTGGATTATTGTCTGAGACAACGTAACAATCTCTGCGAAAATTGCTGAGATCGCACTACTATATCCTATAACTGTCATACAAATTGACCGAACGAAAGCAATTTTTTTTATCCATTTTTTATTTGTATAGGGTATTATAACTTCGATGCAACCGAAGATAACGTTTTTTTTTATTTTTTTTTTTAAATTGTAGTTAATGAGTTTCTAGAACTGAAACGTTTTTTAAATCAACATGAGCGCTTATGCCTCTGCTACTTACATTTATTGCGGCATGGCATTTTAATTACGTTAAACGATTTTCCATTGCTAGCAGTATGTTTTAGGCTTTCAAGCGTACTTAATACAGAATTCCATTTTACGATTTATACATATATACACACATGCATATACAACACTTTGGCATAATTAAAATATGTAAATGTTTTGAGACTATACGCAGCCCATTATGGTATGTACTTAAGTTTACTCAAAAGCATATTTTGTAAGTGAAAATCACTAACACGCATATATCTATATTATACATGTGTATAAAAACTTAAAACTACAACAACTGAGCAATGATAAAACGAAACGAATGTTTGTGCCTTATTGTACTGCATACATATATACATATAGAGTTCCAATATAATTAAAGTTAAAGCAATTTTTGCGCAGAAGTACCCGCCTGAAAAGCATTTTGAACATCCCATCAACACATGTCCAATTGAAAATAAGTGTTTATAGTGATTCTACTCAAAGCCGCGTATGGCATTTGAACTTAAGCGTGGTTTGTGGTGTACTGTTATGTCAATGAGGTGTCTGAAATGACACTGTTTTAATTGCATATTGCATTATTTATGAGTTATTGGTCAATAATGCAACGGTGTAAGTGTGTGCGAATGTGTTACATAAATCAATTTGAAGCGTACGCGGGCTTGTAAACGCTATTTATCAATTTTTACGCAAAAATATTTGTGTATGTGAGTTGACATTTGCCAAAAGCGGTCATAACACATTTTTTAAAGCATAAATAGCACACAATGCATATTTTTATGCACATAATAAATTAAAAAAACTTATCGGTATTTATATATTTAGTGCAGATAAAGTATTTTGGTATGACAAGATGAATAGTTGACAAATTAAGTAATTAGTAATGCGAATTTGAGATATTTTTCTATGATAATCGAACATAAAAAGTACAACGATTAATTGGTTAATTAATGTTTTGAACATATTTTTAATAATGTTTTGAACATATGCACTAACTTTCAGCTTGTTGTAAATTAATGTATGTTTCCTTTTACTGAATTATTTATATTTACAACCTTTTTAATCGTCCATTTTTCAATTTCCTCCCTTGGAGTTGCTCGAACGTTATAAAATATATAAATTCTCTCAAACAAAAACAAATAATTATAAATAGCATATCTCCACATACACCACAAACCTCAGCCTTTAACCTTAACCTAACTACTGCTTAACTGGCATTAAAATTACTACATGCCTACAAATAAATACTGTGAGTATTATTTTATAATAGCAACATCCTCTTTACATGGTCGCAATTACCATTAAATATCGCAATACATAATAATATTTTATTAACTCCGATTAAAAGACAATACATACATTGTATTCTTTTACCCATTATATACTCTATATATACTTAAATATTTATATACATATACATATATAAACAATATCTAATATAAAATATTTTTAAATACATATACAATACTTACTTATGTACATTTAGTTTAGCGTTTACTGATATTTAGATTTTATTGTTAAAAAATATATTTTTTAATAAAATATACAAATAAATATATAAAAAATATATTTATGAAATTGTTTCAATTACTACCAGAAATGCAGGGTGTCAAATTTGGTCTATGATCTTGCGAAATAGTGCGCATTAAAGGCACTCATACAAATTTTGTCAGCACTATGATTTTACAGGTGAAAAATTTGCTTCAAAAGAAGTTTGTGAAAATCGAGAAAAGATATTGAAAGATATCACTATTTTTTGGTAACGTATTACAATATTATATAAACAAAGTAATAATAATTTATATGTTGAGGTATCACTTTTTTAACAAAATATTTGCATAAGCCAGAGCGCAATAATTATTTAGGGTATAAGTTATAATACAGATCAAATTTGAGCGAATCGATAAAAAATTTTCCTAAATCGGTACAACCTTTTTTAATGTTCGTGTGAAGTTTGATCTCCATATATCAATTGGTGTGTGTTTGGCAGCAGTTCGTTTACGCTGCGAAAAGTTTGTCTGGCGATTTTAACCATGAAATAAAAATTGAACAACGAGTTTGCTTGAAATTTTGTGCTTCCAATTGTTCAGCTACGGAATCGTTGTAAATGTTGCAGAAGTATTATTAGGCGTCTGCTTTATCACGAACATAAATATTTGAGTGACACAAAGCATTCAAAAAAGGTCGTGAAGTCATGCATAACTTGCCTCAGGCGAGTCGTATATCGTAACGCACAAAACATCGAAAAAATTAAAAATTCAGTGTTTGAAAATCGTTGTATAGGCATCAGAGAGATAGCAGAGTATCTCAACATCTTTTATAGATAGACTCAACACATTTTGGTTGTGGAAAAATAGTATCAATCTTAGAGTCGTACCAAAAGAGTTGAATCATTTGCAAAAAAGTCGTCGAGTAGAATTTGCAAAAGAGATGCTTGTCAATGTAGCTGAGGACTCTACATTCATCAAACGCATCATTACTGGTGGTGAGACGTGGGTTTATGAATATGACATCGCAACTGTCCATGAATCTAGCGAATGGCGCTCCAAAAATAAGCCGAAACCCAAAAAACCAAAATTCGTTTAAGACACTGAAAGTCAACCAGGGCGAGGCTTATAACAAGTGTATGGAAAATTGGATTAAGCATTTACATGCTTTTATTAGCTCAAGAAGAGCCTATTTTAAAGGCGACAATAAAGATTTGTATTAAACACGTGAAAATGTTTTTTTTTGTGTGTCAGTTCAGTTATAATTTGATTTCGTATATGCTTTTTACAATTAGCTGGAAAACGATCGCTGTGTTTTCAAACAAACAATATAGAAACTTGTTTTGTTTTTTTAAATTACACCCATTAATCGTGAAAATAATTTTTTTTGTTTCAACTCTAGGCAAAATTTACATCATCAATATTACATAGTCAAGTGCTGAATATCTGAACTACTAAACAACATTTATAAATTAGGTTATATACATTTTGTTTACTTGAAAAATTATTTATTTTCAACAACAAACAAATATATACTTGCATTACCCACAGAAAATCAAAACACCTCATTGTAGGCAGAAACTAATAGTTTATACATCAAAGCTTTAGCGATGAGGAAAAGTCATAAAAAGTTAGCCTTTCAAAACCATCACTATATGTTTATATACGCACCTAGGTTCATACATCCGTGTATATACCATAATTAATTTAGTATTTATGCGCGGCCAAAAATGGAGAAGGAAATTTGAAAGATGCGAATGCTTCGAAACCAAACAACAAACACACCTCTCATAACTGTATATATATGACAGCAAGCAAACATATCGCTGCGATATTTTTAGAAACGTCAAGCATATTTTTGTATTTAAGTAGTCGCTTGTGTGCGTGCGTGTGTGGCAGGCAACGAAATATATCCGGCGCGCATCGTGGGTGAACATGCCGTCGGATTATGTACACGAAGATTAACAAAACCATCGCGTAGAAGGGTGAATCACCCAGCACACTGCTAGCAAGTGAACGGACTTTATTTGGAAGAAACTTGGTGTGGTGGGTTGCGCAGTGCATGAGCACCGATCACCGATAGACGCTCTTGGCTGCCTGTGTGCAGGTGTCTAAATATAATACGCCAACGAGTCAAGTGCGAAGGAATAGCGCCCGAAATGGAAATGTAGCAGGAGATCTGCATTTTGATTTGTTGCATGCTGCTGACTGCAACGGCGCTATTTTTAGACCACTAATGGACTAATAGCTGCAGCAATGACGTTACACAGTGTATAGGGAGGCAGAGAATACATACGCTTAATGGAGATGTCCAGATGATTTATGGATACACAAAAATTTAATGTATGTTCGTATGAGGTCAATAAAAAACGAGATATTTATGTGTTTGTAGATTTCAATAAAATTGTAGGTTTGTATATATATTTTTCAATAATTTGTTTATTTCTTTCATGGGATTTTCAATGCAGTGTTTTTTCTCTTTGATTATTCTCGCGCATATAGTCGTATTTTCCATTATTCTTTTGCAATTTTCAAATTCCTATCATCATCATTATCATTATCGTTATCAACGTTTTCTTTGGTATATCTAGTGCCGTTGTTCTTGCTACATTTTTGTTCTTATAAAAATATTTACATACATAATTAATTTTAAAATAAAGTATTAAAATAAAACAAATACAATACATAGCAAAGGGGGGGTTGGAGCGTAAAAGCCCTCAGTTTTCTGATTCTCATTGAGCGTTTAGAAGCATTTGCGGTGGACAATGCCTGGGCCGGATTCATCGTATTCCTGTTTCGAGATCCACATCTGTTGGAAGGTGGAGAGTGAGGCCAAGATGGAACCACCAATCCATACGGAGTATTTACGCTCTGGTGGGGCAATGATCTTGATCTTGATGGTGGATGGCGCCAAGGCAGTGATTTCCTTTTGCATACGATCAGCAATACCGGGGTACATGGTGGTACCGCCAGACATGACAATGTTGGCATACAAGTCCTTACGGATATCCACATCGCACTTCATGATCGAATTGTAGACAGTCTCATGGATACCGCTCGATTCCATACCCAAGAATGAGGGTTGGAAGAGTGATTCGGGGCAGCGGAAACGTTCATTACCAATGGTGATCACTTGACCATCAGGCAATTCATAGGATTTCTCCAATGAAGTGGAGGCAGCGGCAGTGGCCATTTCTTGCTCAAAGTCCAATGCAACATAGCACAATTTCTCCTTAATGTCACGTACAATTTCACGCTCAGCAGTGGTGGTGAACGAGTAGCCGCGCTCAGTCAGAATCTTCATGAGGTAATCAGTCAAATCGCGACCGGCCAAATCCAAACGGAGGATGGCATGGGGCAGAGCGTAACCTTCATAGATGGGTACGGTGTGTGAGACACCATCACCAGAGTCCAATACGATACCGGTGGTACGACCGGAGGCGTACAATGAGAGTACGGCTTGAATGGCGACATACATGGCGGGTGTGTTGAAGGTTTCAAACATAATTTGGGTCATCTTCTCACGATTGGCTTTTGGATTCAATGGTGCTTCGGTGAGCAATACTGGGTGCTCTTCAGGTGCGACACGCAACTCATTGTAGAAAGTGTGATGCCAGATTTTCTCCATATCATCCCAGTTGGTGATGATACCGTGCTCAATGGGGTATTTCAATGTGAGGATACCTCTCTTGGATTGAGCCTCATCACCGACATATGAGTCCTTCTGTCCCATACCGACCATCACACCCTGATGACGTGGGCGACCCACAATTGAGGGGAAGACAGCACGGGGCGCATCATCACCGGCGAAACCAGCCTTGCACATGCCGGAGCCATTGTCAACAACCAGAGCAGCAACTTCGTCGTCACACATTTTGTTTGATTTTTATATACTAATACTACGCGGATTCAAG